AAATTATGTTTTTGATTTATGATAAATAATTTATATTATAATATAAAATTATTTTTATTTATTAATAATTTATTTTAAAATATTAATATTTAATTTATAAATAATTATGATAAATAAAAATAAAAAATTAAAAATAATTAAGAAAATCTCCACAAATAATCTCACAAAAAAAAAATCTTAAAACACTTTCGCAAATAACATTTGTGTTTAATATATAATTTTTTATCTTATAAATATCCATGAATTAATTCATTAAACCGTTTTAAACCTTTTTCGTCTAAAAAAAACATACCAATTAAAATATCATATTTCACCCAGTTTTTTTAAAACCACTTGCTTCAAAATCTCAACTTCACACTTATCAAATTCTTTTCAATTGTAGTTATTATTATTATTTTTATTTAAATTTCTAAAATCTGGAGTTTGAAAAAAAATAAAGATGAGTTTTATATAAAGAAAAACTGTGTAAAGATTAAAGACTTAACTAAGGAATTAAAGCACTAAATTCGAAAAATAACTATTAAAAGACTAAAATTACTCATTAATCATGATAAAGAAAATAAAAAGTATAACTAAACCACAAAAAAGAAACAAATTATTTTGTTATTTGTTTATTTATATGTACTGTTGACTGCTGAGGACATCTATAATATATCTGCTTGATAAGCTGACAAGAAAGTAGAAAGTAACCACCCATCTGCAGCTGCCTTTATTATTTTTTAAAGATGGTCAAAACATTAAAGTTTAGACTTATTTAACTCATCTTTTATTTTTTACGTGGCCACTTTACCCATGGCAAGGAATCTTAACAAAAGGATTTCAGCTCACAACATAGTTTTGGATATTATGTTAATTTTCTAAAATGTGTGGAAAGATTTTAAGTATTTTAACCAGAGAGTAATGTTTAGTAGTTTTTGAAGACAATAAGTTAATACCATCACTTACATTGGGGGCAATAGATGATTTTCTAATAACGATAAATTACAATTATTACGAGTCATCAACATAAAAGAATTTATCACAAAGTAGTTTATTAAGTGGGATAGTTTAAGCATTAAATTAAGTCATTTTCTTAGTGTAAGATTGGGACATCACACAAAACTAAGTGATGCTTAAATATGATTTTTTTTTATATCATCAAACATGGATAAAAAAAATGTGGTGTAAAGAGGAGTAATAGGAGAAAATATCCTCAATACTACTGAACATAGACACCAATAATATGACAATGAGTAAAAACTTGTGTTTAAAAGAGTAACGAGACCAATATTTCTCATATTTACTGCAAAAAGGGAATGATACCCAAAAAACATGTGCATCACTTTAGCCCCACTATCAAGATACAATCAAAACCAAAGTGAATGACGACCCACGTAGTGATCAATAATTTAAAGAAAGAACATCATAACCACAACCATCACTGAAGAATAATAGGTAATCATCCAATGACAACACACACAGGGAGGTGTTAGGTCACAATTACGCAGCAACTGCCAACTGATCAACTCAACTCAAAACCAAAACAAGTGTCAAATTATTCTAAACCCAACAACAAACAAACATCATAAATCAAGCTTCTTATCTAGCCATTATAAAATTTGTCATGTGAGATACGGAAAATAAACCTAATGTTTAATAAAAAAATCATTTTTCAGTTTTAGAATCCCGTATCAAATATCATTATATATATTAGAAGGCATACTTCATATCTCTAATAATTATAAATGATAAAATATATATATATATATATATATATTTTTTTTTTTATGTTTAAGAATATAAAAATTAACTAAAAAATAGAGACTAGATGGTTACTTCTTTATAATAGGTATAAGAATAGATAATATATATATATATAAAAAAACTAACTCGAAGATACGTTCAATGGTGGTGTTAGATAGTTGACATGCAATCATCATCACTATGGCATCACAACACACACACACACTCTCTTCCCCTTCGTACTTTATCTGTGTCCAACCAAAGCGACAAACAAACACATCCTCCGAACGGTTACAATTACATTACACCTCTCTCTCTCTTTTTGCTCATTCCCTTACGTTTGAACCCAAAAAGAGATGCACCCATTGGGACCCGCGAATGTCTCACGACCGTTCGCGACATCCTCGAAAATCCTCCGCGGATCTCGCTGGGATAGAGAGAGAGAGAGAGAGAGAGAGAGAGAGAGAGAGAAAAGGGGTATCGAGAGAGAGAAAAAACCCCGAAACGAAAGAAGGAGCAACAAAGCCTCTGTTTTTCCTCCTCTTGGCGATGCTTCTTCATCTGGGTTTCCCTCCGTTTTCTCTTTGACACCTTCGGTTCCCTCGGGGGCGAACTCCCGGCCCGCTCCCGAACCGGCTCGACCCGCTCCCCAAAATGGGCTGCGTGAGCTCCAAGAAAGCGTTCGCCGGAGCCGGTTTGTCGCCGGAGGCGAGGCCGTACGCGGCGCGGTCGAAACGGAGCAATGGGGCGGGGCGAAACGGCGTCGTGGCGGAGAGGCGAGAGGGAGCCGATGAGGGGAAGGAGTGGAAGAAGGGAAGCTTGAGAGGGGGAAACGGTTCGGTGTCTTTGAGGCTGTCGTATAGGTTTGTGGAGGCTGAGCAGAATGCTGCTGGGTGGCCACCTTGGCTTACCTCTGTTGCTGGGGAAGCCATTCAAGGGTGGCTCCCTCTCCAAACAGATTCTTTTGAGAGATTGGATAAGGTACACCTCATCAATGCACGGATTCATCTTTATCTTGTGTTTCATTCCATAAATCGTTTCCATTTGATATAATTTGTTTATCACCGACCTCCTGGATCAACTGCGCAGGGTTGTTGATCTCGAGTTTGAGTTCTCCTCATGTAGCTGCGTTAAATATTCAGAAGAGTTTTACTGTCCATAATGGTCTTACCCGATATAACCACGATTACCAAAATAATTTATATAATTGAATTGTTTTGAAAAGGAGCAAAAATTAAATGTAATTACTCATGTGTCATGCCTTGTTTTCCAGGACTGAAGTTTTACCTTTTATCGATATTAATGCAAACTTTTATTAGGCAGATTATGGAGATGAAACTTCAACCTTGATGGGAAAACATTATCACAAGTATACGAGGAATTGTATCCAAGTTTTGTCTCTTGCAATGGAGTAGGAGTATTTGGTGTTTTCCATTAGTATTGGAGTTTTAATTTGATGATTCACTAAATAAAAGTTTGTATTGGAAGTTACCATATGGTATTGAGGTGAAACTCGAATTTTTATGAGAAAAGAATGGATGCTTAAGGTTTTGTCCTTGAAATAATGGAGGCTTTATGGGGATTATATGTAAATGATGGTAGGGTCAAGTTCATGTAGGCTTTAACTTTTGTACGAATGATTTTGTTTAAAGATGCGAATAAGCTTCATAGTATGATGAACCAGATTATGAGATGGAGGCTTTTGTGACTTTTTATAATTTGAGGGAAAATAAATGATGGTAGTGGGACAGCTATTTTCTTATGTCTAAACTTTTCAGTTTTGGAGGTAACTTCGATCGTGTAGAAGAGTTGTCCATAAAACGAAGCTTATTATGTCCCATTTTTGTCTCGTTTTTTTTTGGGTCTTTGACTCTTTGCTATAGTAAGTCAAACAAAACAAAACATAGCAGTAGCAAGTTTTCAAATTCCTAGATACAACGTTTCATTTCTTTGTTCTATAATAATGCATTGCATGTTCTATGGTGCATTGCAATGTTTCATTTCTTTCATTTCAGCTATATATTTATCACATTTTCTTTAAATATTTCCTTTCCTGTAGATTGGACAAGGTACATATAGCAGTGTATTCCAAGCACGAGAAATTGAAACTGGCAGAATGGTTGCCCTGAAGAAGGTGCGCTTTGACAAATTTCAGGCTGAGAGCGTTAGGTTCATGGCAAGAGAAATACTAATTCTCCGCACACTTGACCACCCAAACGTCATGAAATTAGAGGGTATAATTGCTTCACAACAATCAAATAGCATATACCTTGTATTTGAATACATGGAGCATGACCTTGCTGGCCTATTAGCTTCACCTGACATAAAGTTCACTGACTCACAGGTTTGTCTTAGTCTGCATTCCATTGGTTAGTTTAATACATCAGATGTTACCTTAACTGTTGTTTCATGTTTTCTCCCAACAGATTAAGTGTTACATGAGACAGCTATTAAGTGGAATAGAGCATTGTCACCTTCAAGGTATTATGCATCGAGACATTAAAGCATCTAATATATTAGTGAACAATGAAGGTATTCTCAAGATAGCAGATTTTGGATTAGCAAATACCCTTAGCCCAAATAGTAAGCAACCCTTAACAAGTCGTGTAGTGACTCTATGGTATCGTCCTCCCGAGCTCTTGATGGGATCAACAAACTATGGAGTATCTGTGGATCTATGGAGTGTGGGCTGTGTATTTGCCGAACTGTTCCTTGGGAAGCCCATCCTTAAGGGGAGAAATGAGGTAATTCTCATTATGAATGTACTTAATCAATTCATAAACATGACAGAAGATATTTGTTTACCATTCAACTGTGATTGCAGTTAGCTTCACTTGTACAGTTCTATATTTGTGTATACAAGACTACTTTATTATGTATAATTAAATGGCGAGCTTTTACTTGTGGAAACATTCCTTAGTTGAAGTGATTGAGATCATCATGATATTTTATATGCAGCTTAAACTAAAATTATGAGGTTGAATTATCACTGAAATTGCCATATGGCTTTGACTTGACAGAAATAAAAACCAACACGTTATTCATCCTTCTAAAAGATATTCAAACAAAATAGAGTTTCAAGAAAAAGAAAGGAACAAAGGAATTTACTAGGCAAGAGTAGCAAAGCATGGTTCATTTGTCAGGCTGACACTAAAACTTTGGTTGCTTAATTTGTGGTGTTTGCTTCTCTAATCTACAGGTTGAACAATTGCACAAAATTTTCAAGCTTTGTGGGTCTCCACCTGATGAGTTTTGGAAAAAGAGTAAGCTTCCTTTGGCCACAATGTTTAAGCCTCAGACAAAATATGAAAGCTCTCTTTGGGAGAGGTGCAGAGGTTTTCCTGTAACTGCTGTAAACCTACTTGAGACTTTACTTTCCATTGATCCTGCCAAGCGTGGGACTGCCTCCTCTGCCCTCATGTCTGAGGTGAATTCTTTATGTATTTTACTGTTCTTCCTTTTTTAGTGGCATTTTATCTTTACGATAAAGAATGAGTTTTCATGAGCTAACTTTGAGGATGGTGTTATACGTGTAATCTTCATAATTGATTCTATTTTTTAAAGATGCTTGTTCAGTGTTGCCTATTGCACATAATTAAGTTTGATTTCTGATTCTGTTTCATGTTGTACCTTTTGTAGTATTTCAGCACCGTGCCATATGCTTGTAATCCATCACTCCTGCCAAAGTATCCACCAAGCAAAGAAATGGATTCCAAAAATCGGGTAGAAGTGCAAAGGTATATCATTGTGATCTTTTCTTCTATTCATAGAAAATAGTCATGGCAAAACTATATTACACTTGGATTTTTCTTTTGCTTTGAATCTTATTCATGAATCTAGTTATTATGCTGGAGAATTAGGCCTTTCAAGTGAAAAGTTGGTTTTTGTAAACCTGGAGGATAAATTATTCATTCTGTCTTTAATCTTTTATATACATTTTCTGCTTATGCTTTTGAATATTCATTTAAACCATTAGCTGGGTCCAAACTTGAGTACCTTAAACTATTCAAAATGGATAGTCTACTTAATCACAGTTTCTATTGAAACTATGTGCTTCATTTATTTCCAATTTCTGTGACTGAAGTCTTGGTCTTATACTCAGGAAAAATAATGGAGGTAAAGTTAGAGAGGCTGTAACATCAAAAAGGCAAAGACGAATCCAGAAAGTCTCCCATGACAATATCATTTTCAACAAGCCAGCTTTGAAAGAGGTGCTCTTGCTTTCATTCACAATGCCACACTACTTGATGAAAATAACTACTTTTATTCACTTCCCTTTTTTGTTTTTGTGAAGGAAATGCAGAATATTTCTGAAAATGCTTGTACAGATGATGGTAAGGAAAGTGTTACAAAAGGAAAAGTAGGATATATGCACAAAGAGCAACCAAAGCCTTCACATGATTCAAAGTCAGAGACTGCCCAAGTGGTGAATAATGGTTGCAATGGTTACAGTGTGTACTCAGGACCAGCACCAGTCTCAGGATCTAGTGGCTTTACATGGGCTAAAAGGAGAAAACCAGAAGCTTCATCCATATTGTCAGATAGCTCAAGAAGCAAAATCAGTGTTCTGGATCCAACCTTTGCAAAAGACACATATGATTTAACAGAACATGGGATAGAGGTTTCAGAAAGGAAACATAGTTACAACACAAGCCATGATGATGAGACTTCCAACTATGTATTACAAAAACACGTGGCTCCCCACATTCAACAAAAATCATTCGATGTAGCTGATACATACAACTCAGATTTTTACATGGAATTTGATTTCTCAGTTAAAATGGATGCTTTGATAGATACTCAGGTAAGTTTGAAATCATTCAGCGAATGTAAACACGTTTTATGATCAAACAGAACCATAAGGTTATCATTATTGATCATGTGCAATATATACACAACTTGTTATAATATAATCTTATCATTTTTTTTTTTTACTTTTGATGAAAATTCTTATTAAGTAATGTTTACACTGAGTGTGGATCATATATGAAATCTTGATATGGATCAAAATACCTACGTAGTTTATTCTAATTAGGTTGCATCGTATTTCATGTACCAAAACTTTTTACAGGGCTACAGAAAACATGGTGAGGAGCAACCAGTACCGAAAATGATCCCATCAAATGAAAATGATGAGTTGCATTGGAATGAAAACTGTATGCGGCAATCTCTTCGTAAATCAAGGTTGGGAAGAGGTAAAGAGACTACTTTTATCTACAATTTAGTTAGACAAATTACTCCATTGTATGCTATTAGATCCACTGGGAGTCTATTGCGTCTGTCAATACTTTTTTATCATGAAAAATGATTGTTTCTCATAACTTTGTTTCTATACTTCTTTCACACTTGTAAAATTCCAAATCACCACATACATAAAAGAATAGAGAACCCAAGATACAATTTTTTAAGAGAAATCGAATTATACCATAAATTTATAAAACTAACAAATAAGAGAAATTTGGAGAGAAAAGTGTGAAATAAGATGAATGAATGATTGGTGTAAGGGAGAGAAACAGAGAAAATGAAGTATTGTATATGTCGTATAAATTTGTTGTATGAATATAATCTTTGAACCATCTTATAGTAATTTTTTTTTTTCTTAATGGTCTAGTCTACAATTTACACATATCTCACATAGTTTGTGCATTTTCTGTTTGCCTATATGTTTTTGTCTGTCTATCATTTTCCTTTTATATGCATTCATTGAATATTTTGATGAAAAACTCAACCTAATGTTGCAGTACACGTTTTTTCTTTGTTCTCTAACTTCAGTTTTAAGGGTAAATTAAAAGTTGTTTGATACAAACTTATAAGATAACTCGTTGAGAATAGCAACATATCAATTTGTGTTTTGCAGACTAGTGACAGAGGGATCATTGAAGAGGAATAATTCCATATCTACAAGGGGTGCTTGACTAAACATTGTGGCCATTTTTGAACCATTCTAACTTCTGACTTCAGCTCTCTTGATCTGACACTTTTGCGACAGTATCCCCCTCCTTTTGTTCTCTACAGAGTTAAGTGTTCATACATAGGACTAACACTTAATTATTTATAGGATTACAGTAACAAATTACAATGCCCACGTGTAAGGTAATATGTTTAAAGAAAGGTCAACTTTCCCAATAGAATTTTTTGTTCTTCGTATACATTTATTCATTCATATTTTATTTCATCTTTTCCTCTCAATCCTTGTGGATGTAAATATTAAAACCTTGATAAAAGAGAGAAAAACTCGAAATATTAAGTACTCTTGTCAAACCTACAAACTACAAGGTTTAACCAACGCAACGCTACGTATGATCGTTAATCGTAATGATATAAATATAAATTTCGTTTTTATTTATACATTTCTTTTGTGGCATTTTGTGGTTCTAATTCTTACAAAAATTGTAATCTCAAGTTTATGGTCATCACATAAGCTTCCGCTCGGGTATATGGACACGTGGTAAAAAGATTAAAAAAAAAGTAATTTTATTAAAAAAGAAAACTTTTATCATATCAACAAGGTTTTTTAATGTTTATTTTATTTTGTAATTTAAAGCATTTAAGTGCATATATTTAATGCGTGCACACTGTGTTTATGGATACAAATTAAAAATTATGGATACTTTCACTAAAAATATTGTAGAGTGATAAGAAAAACATTGTGCAAAATGTTAGAAGAAAATATTTGCTTATCTGCTAGGTATTTTATTCTTATTTTTTACCACTGCCTCATTCATCAACAATATGTGTGGTTAATTTTGTTGAATAAAAAAAGAAAAAAGAAAAAGGGACGATGTGATATTTTGAGACAAAAATAACAGCTGCGTTCAAAGAAACATTAGGCCACACTTTTAGTTATTTTTTTAATCCGTAATTTTATTCTCTTTAATTTATAATAGAAATATTTAATTTTTCTATTTTTAAAAAATTGAAATTTTAGTCATATTATCGATTTGATTTTATTGATAGTTAGATTTTGATATCGTTCGATCACTCATCACCACTTTAATGACGTAATTTTTAATCACATGATATATAGAGAAAAAAATTTAAAAATAATATATAAAAATCTTTGATTTTATTTATTTTAACAATTACTTGATATTTATTTTATTAATAAATATTATTTATATATATTTTTTATAATTTATTTTATCTTCAAATATCATGTTATTAAATGTTTATTATTTAAGTATGAGTTAAAATTTCATGACTAATACATGTCAATTTAATGTATTTTTAAAATTAGATAAACTAAATATCTTATCAAAAATATAATTTAATCTTATTTAAAATGTTATATTTAGCTTTAAAAATTGATCAAAATTTTGATTACCACTAAAGTGAAATTTGGCTTCCTTAGACACGTTAAAATAGAAGAAATTGATACTTATTGACAAACTTGCGTATACGAGGAAGAGTGACCATGCAAATAGGTTGCAATTTGTAAGCACATTCTCTTGAACATTTGCCATCCATAAATAAATCGGTCAATGACAATAAACAAAAACAATAAACAACAAAAAAATTGAAACAACTTATTGTAATATTTCTCATAGTTTAAAATGTGAGATGTTTTTTTTTTTAGAAGTAACTGATCACGATTTCAAATTCAAAATGATTGTTAGATAAAGTTTTTTTTTCTCTTAACATATATATATATAGAGGAGGGTTATAATTACATTGATGTAACTTTTACTAAATATTATACCATTTAATAACTTTATATTAATTGTGAATTTTGTAAATCTAACTGTTAGATTAAAAGTTCATATCACTTTATATGTATATATCAAATTTTGTTAAAATTGAATAACAACTTGAAGGTAATTAAAATGTTCATATTTTAGTGTATTTTAAAATGAATATATTACGTCAATTTTGTTTTATAAAAATGAAATATCAAATCATCTTGGATTAATATAAAATTTTGTACATATGATTTTAGAGATATGAACTTTCAATCTAACGATTGAATTTATAAAATTTACATCTAATATAGAGCTATTAAGCGGTGTAATACTTAGTAAAAGTTACACCGTTGTCATTTATACGTATATATCAAAATTTGTTAAAATTGAACAACAATTTGGAAGTAATCAAAGTGTTCATATTTTAGTGTATTTTGAAATGAAATTTTGTTAAAATTGAACAACAACTTGAAAGTAATCAAAGTGGTCATATTTTAGTATATTTTGAAATGAATATATTACGTCAATTTTGTTTTATAAAAAAGAAGTATCAAATTATCTTGAATTAATATAAAATTTTGTATATATGATCTAAGAGATATGAACTTTCAATCTAATGGTTGAATTTACAAAATTCACATTTAATATAAAGTTATTGAGCGGTGTAATACTTAGTAAAAGTTACACTAGTGTAATTATAACTCCCTCTATATATATATATATATATATATATAACATAAAGTTATTGAGCGGTGTTATACTTAGTAAAAGTTATACCAGTATAATTATAACTCCCTCTATATATATATATATATGAGGAGGGTTCAATGACAACGGTGTAACTTTTACTAAGTGTTACACCGCTTAATAACTTTATATTAATTATGAATTTTGTAAATCCAATTGTTAGATTGAAAATTCATATCACTTTATACGTGTATATCAAATTTTGTTAAAATTGAACAATAACTTGAAGGTAATCAAAGTGTTCATATTTTAGTGTATTTTGAAATGAATATATTACGTCAATTTTGTTTTATAAAAATGAAGTATTAAATCATCTTGGATTAATATAAAATTTTGTATATATGATCTAAGAGTAAAGAACTTTTAATCTAACGGTTAGATTTACAAAATTCACAATTAATATAAAGTTATTAAGCAGTGTAACTTTTACTAAATATTATATCGGTGTCGTTTGAACCCTCCTCTATATATATATATAAGTAAAATTGACTTGGTGAGTAAAGAAAATACTAATTATTAACTATTAGAATCATTTGACAGTAATGCTATGGTTAATCATTACTTTGAAAAATAATAGATACAATGTGTGTGAAAATATACTATTTTTTGTTGATAAAAATAATAATAATAAAAGCTTTAACATTGATATTAGCATAAACATGATACGAGTGTATCATTATTTTTTTTTCTTTTCAAAACATTAAAGAGAATTTACCAAAATACAATTGAAAGTGAAATTATTCTTAAATTATAATGATTAAAGACAGTAAAAATTTTGTGCGTGAGAGATATAACAAATGACAAATGATGTTACAAGTTAATAACATGATAAATAAATCTAAATGACATCTCTTCTTTTACATTCATATATATATAATTCCAGACAATCTAACTTTCAATTCAGTATCAATTTAACTTCCAAAACCAGAGTTTGACCTTCTTGTGTACTCTGCAACTAGTTGAGCTAGAGATGAAGATTTGTCCATAAGCAGTTTCTTTGGTGAATCATATTCCTCAACAAGCCCTGCGGGATCGATATGATGATCGACCATAACATAACCCATATTCATATTAATGATGAGAAAAAGAAAAACAGAAGAATGAAAACCAGTAACAAATAAAGAAGAAAAAGAAGAGAGTCATACCTTGATTTAGAAACAGAACTGTGTCACTATCCAGGATTGAAGTTATTCTATGAGCAATGGTAATGACTGTGCATTCTGAAAAATGTTGACTCACTGTTTGCTGAATAATATTATCTGTGGCTGTATCAACCGAGGCAGTAGCTTCATCAAGGACCAATATCTTGCTTTTCTTAAGTAGAACACGGCCAAGGCAGACCAATTGCCTTTGTCCCATGCTCCAATTTTCTCCATTCTCAGTGACTGCAAAAACTCACGATGATAAGTGATACCTTCTCACTACATGTAGTCATATAATCAACAAAGATCTATTCGAATAAACTTCTCTAAAAACATTTTTAGAAAAAAAAAATGGAAAAAAAAATAAAATACACTTCTTTATTAGCTAAAACTAGTTTATACATAAACTAGTTTGTAGAAACTCTCTTATATAACTTTTTCAAAAAATTACAAATAAGTTTATACATAAGCTAATTTTGGATTAAAGAGAAGATTATTTCATTTTTTTTAATATATTTTTTCCTTCTAGAAATGCTTCTGAAAAAGTTTATCCATATAGGTCCTAAGTTTTAGTGTCACTAGTAAGTAGTAACACATCCTATATCTATGCTTAGAGCATTGAGAAGTCAAACCTACGGAGTCAAGCTTCCCTTCTTTCTTCCTTACTTCATCTCCAAGTTGGCACATATCTAGAACCTAAAATATAACAAAATATATGAATATGCATAACTTCTTGCACTATAAGAGACAACAGACAAGTTCTTCATTATGTCAGCAAAACCAAATTACCTTCCAAATCTGTTCATCTGTGTATTCTTCCAAGGGGTCCAAGTTGCTTCGGATGGTCCCTTCAAACATTGTTGGATCCTGAGGAATAATGCTCAATCTGGACCTCAAATCATGAATTCCAATCAAAGAGATGTTAACACCATCTATCAATATTTGTCCAGCAACAGGTTCAAGAAGTCGAAAAAGAGTTAGGACTAGAGTTGATTTTCCACTTCCTGTTCTTCCTGCAATGCCAGTTTTTGCTCCAGCAGTGAAAGTGCAAGTAAGACCATGTAAAACAAGAGGCAAATGAGGAGCATATCGAACCTGCATCGCATACTTCCTCATTAATCATAAAGCAAAGATATATTTGTTTTGGAAGTTGAGATTTTTCCACTATCATAATTAAATATTTCAAAATTTCTGTAATTTTCTGTTTTACTTGTAAGTCTAGTTAAATGTTTGCTTATTTTAGAAAAAAAGCAAAGTATGTGAGTGAATGATACTTGTTTATTAGCTTAGTCATAATTTGCTTTTAGTTTACCTAATCGGGAATTAGTTAGTTTTAGTATTCAAGAACTTACTGTAATATTTTTAATGTATGCAAAACTAAGTTTATAATCCGAATACATCATATCAGTTTTTACTCTTTTTTATATCTTTGAGTTTGTTGGTTTCTTTCAAAACTTTTACACAGACCGCCCGGTGCAAGACCATCTAGTACTAGAGTCCACTGTTTTATGTTCTGTTTTCTGACAATTTGTAGCCAAGAAAATCTAACTTAATACTCCAAGTCAGAATGAAATAGATGAATAACCTTTCAAAGGTACCTGTAAATC